CTCTCTCTCTCTCTCTCTCTCTCTCTCTCTCTCTCTCTCTCTCTCTCGCGTGCGCGCGCGCGCGCCTGCGCGTGGGCGCAACGGCTCAGAGTCTCACTCTCTCCCTCGCGCAACGGCTCAGAGTCTCCAGAGCCCTCCTCCACTCAACGTGGCTCGTTGCCACCCAATCTGAAAATCTCACGGCCGTAGTAGGCCTTTTTTTTTTTTTTCCAAAAATTAAAAAAATATATATTCTGATCAAAAACAAAAAACAAAAAAATTGGGCAGGTGCCCATTTACAGTCCCCACACGTCTATGAAAAAAAAAAGTACCACCACCAGGCGAAAAAAAAAAAAAAAAACGGACTTCCCGCTCGGCGTGAACTCCGTGAACTACCCGCGTTCACGTTTTCTGTGAACGGTGGCCGGCCTCCGTTCACTACCCCCGTGAACGGTGAACGGGGGTACGGCACTGGTGGAGACCCTTTATTTCATTGGGAGAGATGTGACTAGGTTCGTAGAAAAGTGGGGAAGTTATTCCTTCTGTAAGAAATTTTCCAAGAAGGAGTGAATAGACCACTTAGGGCAATCTACCCCCTCGATGGAAGGTGGAGGATCTTCTAAGGCAAGCTTGTTGAGGACCTTCGCATTTGATGACGTGATCCCGGCGATTGAGGGCCTACGACAGGTGACGTGGGGGGAACAAGAAAGCTTGGTGGCCTTTACCAAAAGGTTTAAAAGGTTTTCTCAGTCTCTAGGGATAGGGGGATGCTGTCGAAAGTGGATAGGTGCGTGATGTTTATGGTGCACCTTCCCGAAGATAAAAGGAAAGAAGTCCTTGAGAAGGCCCCCAGGGACTCCGCACGCTTTAAGAAAGTAGTCGAAGTAGTTTTTACCAGAGGAGGGATGAATGTGAGAAAATACATGAAGGAAAACCTGAATCTGGCCTTGAAACAAAAATGAGGCCAGAAAAACGACGCTCCGCGAGGAAATGATAGGCCCTCTCAGGGATTCCCAGGTCAGCGCTAGGGCGGAGGTCAAGGAGGTTGGAGAAACGAGCCAGGAAGGGGAAACCAAGGAGCTTGGAGAAGTGACCGGGATGGTGGGGCCAACTGGGGATCCGATTGGGGGGTTTCCCACTGGAAGGATGCAAGGGACGGTCGATGGGGAAACCCTCCTTAAAATAGGCCTTCTGGTCCAAGACCGGATGAACAACAGGCAAGGGTTCCTCCTCCACCTACAGCCGGAGCGGCAGGCAGCTCGACATTTTTCGTCGGGGCCCGTCCGCCCATCCCCACTCCCGAGAGTCGTTGCGTTTATTGCAACGAGGAGAGTCACATCAAGCGAGAGTGCCTGCAACTCACGGAGACTCTAAGGTTGGGAGTCGTGAAGTTGAATGAAAACAAGTGGGTGGTGTGGGCAGATGACAAAGAGCCGGTTTCCTTCTACATTTCTATGAGGGTGAATGTGGACAAAAGGCTCGCCTTACAAGAGGAAAAGTTGAAGAAAAGACCTGAGACTAGTGGGGTGGCCGAAACATCCAGAGTTCAGATGATGGAACATGATCCAACCAAAGGAATCTCGATTCGGGAGCCCCACGTTTTAAGCACTAAGTCCATTGAGACCTCCCTCGAGGAAGTTGAAGCGGATCAATGCCTAAGAGTGAGGACTCAAGTCAGCGCCAGTTTTTCCGGAGAGAAAGAAGTTGTGCCTGAGAAGAGCGGTGCGGACGAAGATCAACCAATGATGAACGCAAAAATCAAGGAGAAGAAAGAGGCGAAGGGAAAAGGGGAAGGAGAGCCCACCTCGCCTCGGAAGAGGGGACCAAAGAAATTTGAGATGAAATGTACCTTGGACGAGATAGATACTGGGGCCCCTCTCCGTGATGCAACCCATGCAATGTACGCTACTCGAGTACCTAGCAGCTGACAAGAATGCAAGGGAATAACTTTTGAGTATCACCAGGAAGGTGAGAGTCCCGATGACCCAAGGGCCAACCATCTCGGGTAACGTGGTATCCAAAGAAGACGTTCAACCGGGGACAACACTGTCCTCAAGGATCACTATGGATAGTCTGTCAGCAAGTTGCTTCTCTGAAGAGGAGGTGAAGAGGTTCTATGAGCTCGACACTGGACAGCTTCAGGCTATGGCTAATGGGAAAGACATGAGGCCCTTAGTGGATAATGGGTCCAAATCAACCGTTTGCTCGAACTCGGTCGCCAAAGAGTTGAGGTGTACGCTATGTCTATGGTCGTAGCGGACAACAAGTTACAGTCGGGCGAAGGAGTCTGTTATAAGTCGGTCATCAAAGTCGCGGGAGTAAAAACTAGCGTGCCAATCTTTTTCGTACGAGAGTGTTCGTCGGAGTTGACACTTGGACACACCTGGCTAAGCGAGGTGCACGCTACTACAGTCGATCTCCCGGACGGAACTCAAACGCTCTCCATTCGGTCCCTCGATGGAATGCGTGTGGTTCTCAGGACTCTGGACGCTCAAGATGAGCGTAACTGTACCAGCATACACAAGAGAGCAGGTGGTCAGTCTCAGATGTGTCGAGTCCGCCTGGATGAGACCCCTTTTTTTGGCAAGGTGCCTCCAGACGACAAAGTGATCGGAGAGATCGGATTGTGATCAATGGGGTAGGGTACGAGAAGGAGTCCAAGGATGAGGAGTTTGGAGGATGTGTTAAGCTGTCTTTTTGGGAAGAATCTCGCTAGCTGGTAGAGGTAGAAAACACAAAACCGTAGCGGAGAAAGTAAAACCCACTGCGGTCAGCCAGGACAGAACAGAGAAAGCGATGATTTCTGAGGAAGAGATAGTCGAGATCATCAGGAGGCGAAACGAGAAGGAGGGGCAAAGAATTATTGCCCAACGGGTGGAAACGATGGATATATAGGGGATGGAAACCTCACGGAGAGGGAAAAAGAGTGTGTAATAACTGTTCTGAGTGGGTGCGATAAGGCCATAGCCTTTGACGACTCAGAGTGAGGGAGGATAGACCTAAGATAAGCTAAGCCAGCAAGGATTCATACCATCCCTCACGTGTCGTGGAAGGATAGACCCCCATGGACGTATGTGTGGAAGGAGAAAGAGGAAATAGTCGTTTTCGTAAAGAAGATGATAAGGAAGTTCGTAGCTGAGCTATGTGAAAGTGCCTACGCGAACAAATGTTTTTTTATCCGGAAAGGAGGTAGCAACAAGCTTAGATGGATCCAAGATCTTCGAAGAACAAATGTCGTCACAATCCGAGACGTCGGATCTATACCCGAAGTGGATCTCTTATCAGAAGGAGCGGCGGGCCGATCCATCTACTTCATCTGTGACTTTTTTTCGGGGTATGATGAGATTCTCCTTTATTATCGCGATAGACACATGACGGCTATGCACACTCCGTTAGGTCTAGTACAAATGATGGTTATACTGATGGGATGGACCAATGGTGTCGCCATTTTTCGAAAGGCATTGATTGTGGTCCTCAGGGAGTTCATTCCGAAAAAATTGGAGGTTTTCCTGAACGATTTTCCAATCAAAGGGTCGGTTTCGAAGGATGAAACTGAAGTTTTTCCTGGGGTTAGAAAATTCGTAGTGGATCACTTGGTGGATGTGGAGGCGGTCCTCAAGAAGTTAGACGACGCTAACCTTACCGTCAGTCGGACAAAGAGTCGGTGGGCAGTCTCTTCTATCAAAATACTGGGGTTCAGTTGCGACAAGGACGGAAGGAGACCAGATCCCGCTAAGTTGGAGAAGCTTATCCTATGGCCGTCACCCCTGAAGTCGATCACGGAAGTACAACAATTTCTAGAGGTTGTGGGTTATTGGCACATCCTTATAAAGACCTATAGTGACAAGGCGGAACCCCTCCGAAAATTGCTTCGTAGAGCTGAGAAATGAGACTGGGGGGGAGACCACGAAAAGGCAATGGGAATCCTCAAGGAAGAGTTCCGGGAGGGAGGCCAAGTGTTAGGAGTACCCTACTTTGATGATGAAGAGCATAGGCCCTTCATAGTGTCGACTGATGCGGAGCCTTGTTCGGTAGGGGGGCTCCTGTCCCGAAAGGACCAGGAAGGCAAAGAGCGGTCTTTAAGGTTCGAGAGTCGGGCACCCAATCCTATAGAAAGAAACTACAGTCAATTCAAGAAGGAAGTATTGGGGGTATTGCATTGTCTCAAGATCTTTAGGCATTACGTTTATGGAAGGTGGTTCCTCCTTCGGGTAGATCCGACCTCGGTGGCGGCAGTACTTCAAAAAGACTTCTTTCTAACGGACCCAACGATAGCTTGATAGATGATCCACATGAGGCTGTATGACTACCAGGTTGAAAGAATCTCGGGGGCTAAGAACTAGGTAGCCGATAGGTTGTCCCGAATTCTGATCCGGGAAGAGGACCGTCCGAGGTTGGAAGAAGGAACCCACTTAATGGCCAAGGACGATACCATGAGTATCGCTGCAAACAGGGTGGTGTCGGAGTCTATTCCTGGGTAAGGCACAAGCAGGGGCTCGGAGGTGTTCTTAGCCAACCTCCATGACGGGAAATATCGGGATATAAGACTGTACTTAGCCGGTAGGCAAGAAGGGACTGAGGCCATGAGGAAAGTAGCCCGCGGGTACTGTTTAAGAGGGGGACACCTTTTTAAAAGGCCCACAAAGTTGGCAATGCCCACGAGGGTGCTCTGCGATCCGGAGAAAAAAAAAAACAGTCATAGAGGAATTGCATGATGGGATATTCGGCAGTCACCGAGGGGTGAAGGGAACATTCGACAAGGTCTGAAAACTTTATTGGTCGGATGGACAACATGGGGAAGTCGAAAAGTATTGTTCGACCTGTGAAGCTTATCAAAAGAGGGTCACTGCCCGTTATAAAGAACCCCTTGTTCCGTCACTCCCCACTGCTCCGGGCGAAAAGGTTCACGTGGATTTAGTAACCATGCCCAAAGAAGTCGGCAGACTTAGATACATCATAAACGCGGGCGATGACCTCACGGGGTTCGTAGAAGCTAAGGCCATAAGGAATAAGAGAGCCGAAGAGGTGAGTGACTTTCTCCTAGAGTATATCGTGTGATACGGGTGTGTTAGGAAAATAGTCTGAGTTCCTATGTCAAAAGATCAAAGACAATACTGGAAAGGGCAGGGATTAAGGTGGCTTACACGATTGCTTATCATCCCCAAAGCAATGCTCCGGTCGAAAGAGGCCACAAGACACTTGTAGACGCCTTAGCGAAATGGTGCAAGGGGCGCACGGAACAGTGGTCGAGATACTTACGCTATGTCGTTTTGGATGACAACATCACGGTCAAATCAAGCATAAGTTATCCCCCTTAAACCCTTTGGTTCGGTAGGCACTGCCCGCCGCCCATCGAATTCCACGTCGATACTTGGACGAGTGTTTCGTGGAAATCCAGCATGATAAGAAGCGAGCTGTTAGAAGAAAGGATACGACAAATACCCAAAAATCTCGAAGCCGGGCTTACTGAGGCGGCCCGAAACATTGAAAATGAAAGGGTGAAAGGAAAAGAAAAGTGAGACAAGAATATGCAGGTTTGACAAAGGCCGGTAAGGACAAGTGACTTGATCCTGATGTACGACTCATCGCTGAAAAGACATGGAGCAAGAAGTTGGCAAATCGATGGATGGGACCATACCGGGTTCTCAAACGGCTGGACGAGGGGGCCTACCTCCTCACAGAGTTAGATGGGGCCACGTTCCGGGACACTATCGCGGGATCTCGTCTAAAACTTTTTTGGTAGAGGGAGACCTTTGGATTTGACCCAAAAGGGAAAGGAAAGGTGGCAATCCTTGTAGAAGGATCCATCACCTACGAGGAGGGGGAGACGTCAAAACAAGGGTCCTCTGCGCTGCCGCCTAAGAAGGGGTACAAGGTTTGGAAACCTTCCCTACCTAAAATGATTGGAAGAAGGAAGAGGCCCAAGGACGATGACGATGATACCGACCAATTGAGAAAACGTAGGCTGAAAAAAAAAAGGAACGCCTCAAGAAAGGCTTTGAAGGCGAAACACGATAGGGAAGATAGGAAACGGAGGATGGAGAGGCGAGAAAAAAAAATGAGGAGGAAGAGACGGGGGTAGCTTTACTTGGCAAAAAAGGGTTGTACCACAACTAGAAAATAGGTCGTATAGAGACCAAAGAGAGGAGTACATTCGGACGAGTTAAAAAGAGGGACCATGTACCATCGTTCAAAGAGGGGGTGAGAACTGATCCACGAAGGAAAAGGGTGTGTACCATTTGGAATTCAGGGGGAAGCGAAACTATGTACCATATCAAATTTGGGTGGGGAAAATACTATCTAAGGCTCGCCAGGGACGTCGAGCGATAGGGGTGTGGGCTGGTTGTTGGGCGGCGGCCTAACAACCGGACCACCTCCTTTACCAAACAAGGAGGGATTTTGGATTCCTTTCTTCGATCTCGCATGTTTTTGTGGTGTGGATGAATATGCCTGAGGGGTTTGGAAGGGGATTTGGGGTTGTTTGCCTTGTACTAACGTTTGGACAAGTGGAGATGGAAGCAACCAATACGAGGTCCTAAGCGGGGCCGAGGGCAGATCAAATCGGAGATTTCAAGGCGACGCGTGAAGAATGAAGAGGGGACCATCGGAGTTTGGGACTAAGGGGCAAACACCTGAGAAGGAGGAGGTTCGGGAAAGTGCAAACACGACGATCTCCGCCGGCTATGTGGCTCGGGGCGACCAATAACCTTGGCGTTGAAGTTGCGATGCACAGGAGTAAAACAGGCCCAGGCCTTGGGGAAAACAACAAGATACGATGGTTTGATTAAGGTAACCAGGCTGGGTGCAAAGTAATTAAGTGTTTGTGAGACCAACGCAGTACGACAGTCAGGCCAAGATGTTCAGGATCAATGACAGCATGGCCACCATGGTAAGGTGGATGTTGGAAGATCGGGGCTCTGTGCGGGGTGTAAGGGGCTTCGTGTATGATCTACGTGGTACGGCGGCCACTCCGGTGAAGTCACCCTCCGTATGACCAACGGTGTGAGTGCCACTTGGTGGTTGG